GGCAGGTGCTGCAGATCTGCTGCTGCTGCCGTGTGGGCAGCCCAGGCCGGGGAGGCCTCCAGGCCTCTGTGCTCAGCCCTGGCACCTGCTTGCAGCGGGGGTGACGGTGCAGCCGGGGCTGCCGCGAGGAGCCCTCCTCCCTGACCCTCCCTGAGGACCTGAGCACCTTCCCCTCCTCCCTGAGGTCCCGAGCACCTTCTCCTCCTCCCTGACCCTCCCTGAGGACCTGAGCACCTTCCCCTCCTCCCTGAGGTCCCGAGCACCTTCCCCTCCTCCCTGGACCTCCCTGAGGTCCCGAGCACCTTCCCCTCCTCCCTGGACCTTCCTGAGGTCCCGAGCACCTTCCCCTCCTCCCTGACCCTCCCTGAGGTCCTGAGCACCTTCCCTCCACAGACAAGGCACCAAGATTTGCACAACAACTCAGAAGGACTCACCTTTCCTGTCCCCCGCCTCACCTCTCCACCACGGAGGAGGCCTGGCTGGGTCTGGTGCCTTCTGGGCTCTCTGATCCTGTTTCTTCAGATTGAGTTGTGCAGAAGAGTGTGAAGGAGCTACAAGAAGAGTCAGGCAATGCTTTTGTGTTGGCAATATTACTGTGGCACAAAMGTGGGGTTTACATTTGGCTGGAAACTGGGCTGCAACAGGCAGAAAGCCTGTCTAGGGAGCCTATGTGGAGGCTTCTCACAGTGAAACAGCAGCACCTGTATTGGTGGCTTTTTATTGAAGAACCTTCTCAGGCTCACCTAACTGTGAGGCCAYGTGGCAGTTGTATCAGGAATTCAGGAATACCAGGAACTCGCTGTTGAGCGGAGCTGCAGTGGAGTTGCGACAACTCYAGGCTTTTGGTGGCTGGGTTGTTGGGTACCTCAGCCCAGTAGTGGGATGGGGTTTGGCTGTTGCGGGAATGATTTCCTGGGGAATCATGTTTGCTCCACCAACAGTGTCTGAACATTCATTTCTTCTGTGGCTACAGATATTTTAGGGCAGGCTCTTTAGGAAAAAGGAAGTGTCTTGACCTCTGCAGAAGCAGATAGGGGAGAAATCTGTGATGGCAACACTGAAAGGATTCAAAAGATGGACGTAGAATTCAGGTGCTTATTAATAAAAGATTAACCATTATTATTTTAAAAAATAACAAAAGAAGTGCTTTGCATCACTATACACTTAAAGTAAGTACAAAATCAGTTCATGTACAAGGCTGCGCTCCAGCCCAAGCGCCCGGTTTTCCGCCCCGTGTCCGCGCGACGGAACAGGTCTCATAAATAAGGTGGGTGCCGGGTGTCGGCYGTGCTGTGAGGGGGGCACCGGGCCCTGGGCGCCCTTCACGGCGCGTTGCCGCCGCCCGGCTCGGCCTTGCCGGCCTCGCGGGCCGTGTTGTTGTTGAGGATGTCGTCGCAGCCCATCTGCGCCATGAGGCTGAGGCGCTCGGCCACGCAGTGCGCCGTGAGGCGGGCCTCGGGGTCGTGGTCCCAGCACTCCGTGATGGTGTCGCACAGGAAGCGCATGCCCTGCGGCGGGAAAGCCAGCGTTAGGCCGGGAAGCAGGATGAGAGGGAGCCAGGGAACAGGGGAAGCTCYAGTGCGTTCCTGGTCTTTCCTTGCAGGAAGGGTTGTTGGCCAGGCCAGTCTGAGGGGAAGCGCCTTGGTGAGCTGTGGTGAACAACTCCTTGGACCATGGCTACTGTCCTGACAGCAGCAGCCCTGGATCTGCWCCCAAGGGTTCCCCGCAGTCCCAGGAACCCTTCCCTGGGAGATGCTGCCATCACTGCGGGACTGACACAGGGCCTAGGGGAATTTGGCCCCTCCATCCAGCACCTTTGCTGCTCGCGTCGAGCACTGTAAAACCGGGAGGGAGGTGGGTGCTTAGCCCAGGATCTGGGCTTGCAGCCCGTGTCGGGATGAGCGGCGAGGGGGAAAGGCATCATCAAAATTAAGCTTATTAAAAAGGCCTTGGTGTTTTAGCAGCTCCCTGAAAGTCAGGAATTTGACACTTCTGAGTGTGCTTCCCAACCCCTGAAACTCCACTCAACTGCAATGGCTGCAAATCCCAGCAGCAGGTTTAGCTTTGATTGCACAGTACTCTGAAAAGGTCCCAGTAATTTAGGCTTAGGAATAAAACAACACGCTTTGACTGCTATTTTTTCCCTTCCTTCCTTTAAGCTGGTAACCAGGCAGCTCAAGAAGTTATATTGCACCTTTCCTTCACCGTGTAGTTGGTATCATCTCTCTCTTAAGTCATTGTCAAATAAGGTAGCAACACCCTGGGCAAATTATTATTCTAAAGAAAGCCTAGTATTATTCTAATAAAGCTGTGCATTTTTTTCAGTGTTTTGGTAAATTCTTACTCACAAGTGAAGAGAGCCTCAAACCTTGCTGATATGAGAGAGAAACAGGAGTCCTGTGTAGAGGTACCACTGCTGTGTCTGCCCTTTTGCAGCTCTCTGAGAGCCCCGTTCTGAGCTGGGACTTAAGTTAAATCTGCTGTAATGGGCCCAGATTGGAGGGAATAGGAGTGCACAGTAAAACCAGCAGATGGTACGTTTTGGTACTTCCTATGTCAGTCATTTATTAGCCTAGTTGAAAGGGCTTGAGGGTAATTAAAGTGTAAAGATGAGCTAGCTTAGTGGTGGCTTTTCAAATGAGCCTTTTTTTTATTCTCTCTCTCCAATAGAGCACTGTGCTGTCACACTGAGCAGTCGTTAGCTTTTCTGGGCTTCTTTTGCCCTGAAATCATGACATTTATTTACAGGTTGCCTTGTAAATAAATATGATGCTCTTTTGAACGGTGTGGTTGCAGCATCCTATTTTCTTACACTTGCAAAATGGGCTGCGTTGGGGTTTTATATTCGATATCCCACACTTGCAAAGGGARGTGGGTGCTGTGCCTAGCCCTAGTTTTGCAGTACTTTTTGGTGGGGCTCTCCCTGCTATTTCCCATCTTGGACCAGCCTTTCGCTTGTGCCAGGACAACAGTATGTTCAGCTTCCTAGTGAACCAGATCGGGAACTTACCTGGCCCAAATACCTACTTTTTTTCATGATGGAAAAGGAAGAAAAGGGAGATTTTTAGCTTATTTTTAAGTTTATGCAGGAGACTTTGGGGACAAACTCCAGTTGTGCAGCCTTGCAGGGAGTTGCTGTGGGGCTGCTGATGGGCAGCAAGGGCCTTGCTTGAGCCAGCTCCCCCAGAGCTGAATATATGTGAATCCGTGGTCTTGGATGCTGCTGGGAAATCATAAGCCAAGAATTTAAGCCCTCATTTAATGAGGGAGCCCCATGGAAGCAGCATTTTCAGCTCTGTGTCAAACTCATTTCCACCTGGGAATATCTCAGGTGTTGCTCATTCACGTGAATAACTTGTCTCCCTTCCCAGGTATTGCCCAGAACTGCCTCCCTAAAGGCCACAGCTGGGCCCGGGGCCAGCACTTGGCCCAAAAACGTGATTTTCTGTAATTTTCCAGCAGATGGTGCTGCCCTATGCTGCACGCTAGCGAGGCCCAAAAGAAGCCAGGAAAATAATGTAAAGCCAGGCCTGCAAGGGGATGTTTATTAGGGCATCTTATATCAGCCAGAGGAAAACTCTCAGGAACACAAGATGGCTTTTCTGCTTTTCTTCCCCAGTGAGCATTAGGTGGTCTAATAGAAGTTACTGCCCTATAAACCTTGCTTTGTTTAGGCGCTAGCCCAGCCCCTGGGCAGCCGGGTTATTTCTTGGCAGTCACAGGGACCGTCAGCGCAGCCACCCTGGGGCTCTGCCGCCCTTTCACACCCAACTTCTGTGTGTTTTTAATGGGGTTTCAAGGTTTATCAGGGAGGCTGGGGGGTGAATGGCCCATATGGATACTCAGAGGTTCCGAATATGCTGCGGCTCGCACTTGGGTGCTGGTGTTTTGCTTCAGCTCCATAGGGGGAGAAGCCTTTTTGGGCAGGTACTGCAAAATGATCTGTGCTGACCAAGCAATAAGCCCTAAAAGGCCCTAGGACTCAGCAAACCCCATCTTTCAGGCTGTTTTTCAGGTCATCTGAAACTGCTGCTGCATGAATGCTGGTTTCCATGTTTCCATTTCCATAAGAAAGGCCAAAGTTAGGCAAGAGCTGGGGAAAAGAGACAACCCTGTCAGGTGCAGGGAGTCCCCAATGTAATAAACTGCAGCAGCCCCAGCTGGTGGCTTTTATAAACTGATCTAGAAGGGCTCATCGGAGCTCAGCCAGCCAAGATGAGCTAGAAGCAGGACCCAGCGGTTCTGCTTGTATTTGTATTAATTACAGCAGCTTTCACAAGTCCTTGTGAATCAGATGCGTTTGTATTGAAAAATGCAATTTTCAGGCCAGGTCGGTGCGGTTGGCCAACGTGGGTTGAGCTTTTCTCATTTGCTCCTAGCTTACCTGATGCACCAGCCAGCTGCCGGGGATCTCGGGACGTCCTCTGCCGTGCAGCACGATGTCTCTCATGGTGTCCACGCAGGGCTGCTCCTGCACTTTTGACCCAAAAGGGAGCTCATAGTTCTTTACTTCTGCAAGGAAGCAACAGGAGCGTTACAGGAGGTTTCTCGTACATTCTCTGCACTGTCTTGGTATGGCCCAATGGATAGGAATAATCTTGAACTAATCAGATAACCAAAAAAAAAAAAAAACTTATTTGGAAACTTTTTAGGGTTTAAGCATGGAAATAAAATGCTGGGAGATGGATGGTTCATTTTCATGTCAAAGGTGTTTTCAGAGATGGCATCGATGGGCCATCTTACTCCTGGACTCAAAAGCTTCTCCTTGGACTCAGTCTTTAAAYGAAGCACATTTCTAGCAGGTAAAACTTGGTATGCAGGAGAGGCAATTAYAGAACCAACCAAGCATCTGTACCAAGTTCCTGGTACAGACAGCAGCTCGTTTAGATGGGAAATGATTCTTCCATAAGAGCAACCTCCAGGCCAACGAGAAGTTTCATTCTGCACAAGCGCCTGTCTGCTGCGATTTCAGCCAGTTGCATTGTTCCCCACTGCAAGTACCAGGATGAATATGATTCTGGTCACAGTTTGAGGTGGTATATGAGGCTGTGAACCAAGTCCTGCTGCATCTGAGGGGCTACAGGCAGGTGAAACACGRTGGCCACAGCGGGGAAGGGCAGCACGCAGTGTGAGGGGTCTGGATCTGCAGCRAAGGGGAGCGATGTGGTGTGAGCTAGGCAAGATTCTTGGGTAGGGAGAAGATTCGGGGCAGCTTTCCTGCCAGGGGTCAAGAGTTCCTTCCAAGTCCATGGGCACAGCAAGAAAATGGGGGAAAGAAAAAAGGAAAAGCAAATAGCAAAAACAAAGGAGAGAGAGCTATAAAGAGAAGAGAGAGGAACAAGCAGGGTGACAGTCAGGGGATAACACCAAGGTGGTTAATTAAACGTTTTATAAAGCAAAAACTCTGTGGCAAGGATGTAACTAGGGAAGTGGCAGGGAACGTGGCATTGCTGGAGGCTGGAGTCCGTGTGTCTCTGCTGCAATGTAAACTCTCTGGCACGATCTTTAAAAAAATCCTTGCAGATGAGGAAAAGGGGGAGGTAGGAAGGCAGGAGCCAGCTCTGGCTCTTCCTGTTTGCTTGTTTGCATCATCAGCAGTTACTTGGATTTAGCTTCAAGATTGGCCTCACTTTGAGCGGGGGCTGGACTAGATGACCCCCCTGAGGTCCCTTCAAACCTCAATTACTCTACAAGCAGTGTTAGAGTTTGGATCGTTTCAGTGCTGCGGGGGCCAGACTGCAATTGTGTGTGTAAGGCCAAGTGACTGGTGCCTTTCTGTGTTTCATTAGTTAAAACAAAGGGATAAAGTCCTTACTCACCTCGGGTGAGTGTTTGTGTTACGTGTGTGCATGAGTGTCCCCCTGGGAGAGACCTTGTGGCTGAAATTGTGAAGAGCAGGGAGCTACCCTGGCTATCCTCACTGTTGAGGAGTAGGGTCCTGGGCCTCCCACTGGACTTTCTGGTCTAAATCAGGTCACTTTTGGAACAGAATTCTGGATCTGCATTTGCTGAACTGGACGTGGATCTGCCTGGAAATCTGGGATAAAATCCTGGCTTCACAGAGCTCAACAGGGAAAATCCCTCCAGGCTTCAGAATAGTTGTGATTTTGCCTGTGACCTGTTTTCAGTTGCATGTTTTCCCCTCTTGTTCCCATACTCTGCTTTGTAATGTTTTGTTACCAGGAAATACTGGGATAACAACCCCCCCCATCACAACGGAGAGCCAAGGAGACCTCTCTGAACTATCCCCACCAGGCCTGGAGGCCTCTCTAATTCCTGCAGTCCTCTGTGAGGTTCCTCGGGATCTTGTCACTGTGGTGGGAACTGTGGGGGACCATCTGGTCTTGGGACAGGAGAGAGGCCTTTCCACAGGACACAGGCAGAGCTGATGCCTTTGAGTGGGTCGTCCTGGAGCATGAGGCATTTGCCCAGCTGTGGACAGAAGTAGTGGTATCCCCTTCCCTGCTSCTTGACCACGGCGCCTGTTTCCCTCGTGTTGTGACACATGAGGCCATTCGCTGGCTCTGTCACCACAGCCCTTGGGGGAATCTGCCACCATCTACCCTCGGCAGCCCTGTAGAGAGAAGTCATGCGAGTCAAGTGCTGCACAGGGTGAGTCCCTGCGGTGAGGCAGAGCGGAGTCATCGCTGCTTCGGGGAAGGATGGTGTGAACCMCAGAGCAAAGCTGGCTCCTGGGACACCAAGACAGCAAAAATGCGCAAAAGAAATACRGTGCAATGCTCCTACCTCCTACTACTTCACATCTGGAGGCCATTTCCCATAAAACCAGGGCCATGGAGTAGACATCCATTTGCTTGAAGGACTCCAGATCCTCCAGGTTTACTCTGGACTCCAGGACCTCGGGAGCCATRTACCTGGCGGTGCCCACCTGCCCACAAAGTGGAGAGACATTAGCAGAGACCAACATGTGGCACCGCATGGGTGCAAAGCCCGGTGCCCCGAAGGGATGCAGCTTCTGCCTGGTGTTTGAGAGCCCAGGAGCACATGTGATGTTAGCAAAGCGCTACCCGGGGRTACAAGGAATTTGTATTCCATGTGTTCCCTTCCATGCCAAAGGGAYGGGGATCGGGTCGTACTTGCCTGCCCGCTGTTGGCAAAGTCATCCACCGTGAGGGAAGGGTCGAGGCGGATGGCGATGCCGAAGTCGCAGAGCACGCACTCCTGCTCGTTCTTCACCAGGATGTTGGTGCTCTTGATGTCCCGGTGAGCGATGGGGATCTTGGGGCGGCCGCAGGCGGTGTAGTCGCTGTGGAGGTGAGCCACCCCGTTGACGAGGGAGCCGGCCATTTTCTGCAGGTCCATCCAGCTCAGGAYGTGCCTGGACAGGTAGTCCTTGAGGTTGCCGCGGCTGTGGTAGGCCGTGATGAGCCAGTACTCCCTGCGGGGCCCCGAGCCCCTGTCCTCGGCCGTGAGGAACTGCAGGACGCTGTCRTGCTTGAGGCTGGCGTCCGTGAAGATCTGGCTCTCGTTTTTCCAGGAGGAATATTCCTCGCAGGGGAAGATCTTCACAGCCACTGTCTCGTACTGCCCCGAGCTGGYGTGGTTTAACTTGGCCCTCCAGACCTCTGCAAACTGGCCTTTGCCCACCATTTCGTCGAGCTCGATGGGGAGCAGCTCAGTGTTGTGGTTGAGGCTGTTGGCGCAGGTGGAGCTCAGCGCGGCCTGGTTGTCGTCCGCCATCACGGAGAGCTTCTCGTCGCGCTCGGCGGCCTTGCCCCGCTCGGGCAGGCCCGGGTGCTGCGGCTGCTTGTGGCCCCACGCCTTGGCTCGCTTCCTCCGCCTCTGCGTGCGACACAGGTAGAAGGTCACCGTGATCRCGACGGCCACCAGCAGCGGGGGCAGCAGGCTGATGGCCGCCACCGGGATGACCTCTTTGCTCTGCAGCATGGAGTATCCTRCGGGAAGGGAAGCAGACGTGAGCGCGCCGGAGCACGGGCTCTGCAACATCTTGTTCTGATCACGCGTAGGAGGAAAATATGCGAGGCGGGTAAGAAGGAGCAGCCGTTTGCAGGGACGCAACGCACCCCGCGCACAGGTCCCCTCGGAGCAGAGGGTAAGGACTCCGATGGGAGCCACCGCTTAGAGGGACACTCGTTCTAGCTCCATTTATCCAGGGAGGACCCAGGACTGCAGGGCTGAAAGAGACGCTGGTCCTTGGAGGACCATGGAGGTCTCATGAGCGTGGCCAGTGACCAGCACCTTCTCTTGTGGATGTCTCCTCCACAAGCCCATCCAAGGAGCTACTGGAGGTGTCTCCATGCAAGTGCCAGCATGAGCGGGCGGCCGTGACAGCCGCAGGTGTGAAGGGCAGGAGCTGCAGCCACGGGCCAGTATCTGTGTTTGGCTCCGCACCGTGCTGCGGCGCTGGCACCCGTCGGTAGCCCCGGAACGGTTGATTTGGTTTAGTKCTTCTGAGCCCCCATCAACCTTCTGATCATTGGGGAGAAGGGGGGAAAAAAAACCCCAACAACTCTCGCACAACATATAATTGTCTGATCCTTTGATGTCCGCAATTCCTGGAATAAACATGCTGACTTCAGTAGGGATATTCAAGTAAAATCTTACTCAGAGGTTTTCCTGCCAAGTATAATAACCCAGGGGAAGAGGGATAAGAATCATTCCATAAGCAAAGCTCTTGCTGTTTGACCTCAGTGTGTGCAGATCATAATTCAGGTTCTGGAAAAACAGAGCATTTAGCTATTTTACTTGGCAAATTTCAAAAAAATCTGCTGCAGCTAATTTCTGCAAGGCTGTGAAAGCGTTTCTAAAATAGGCATCAAGTTCAAACCACAAGATCAACCTAAACTGATATAAATCAATAACTAACTCAGGAATATGTTTATTTTGGAAAGCATTAGGCCTGGATATCACCTACTGCTTTAATGGATTTACCCGATGCTTAGGATCACATCTCTGAAACTTGAAAGAAAGAAAGAAAGAGAATTCTTTTTGAGAAAAAAAAAAAGGAGTTATGTGCACGAGTGCTGCAAACAGTAACTTAACACAACCTCAGCAAATTCCTTGGTGAGGATGCCCCTGCCTCGTGCAAAGCTCCTTGGTGCACTGGGGTGGTGGGAGAGCTTAGATCTGTCCCTGGAGAAATGGAGGGGGCTGCTCGGCTTCCTCTGCACGTAAATGTGGACCTCTAACCCCAAAGTCGTTGAGTGCCGCTGCTTGGGTCCATCCTCACGTGCCTACCTCGACCCCCAGCGCTCATCTGCATCCCTTATTTCTTTGTTCAGAGTCAGTCCATAGCAGCGGAGGCTGCCGTGAGTCAACATTTCAAGTCAAACACTAAAAAATTACTTAAATCGGGAAAGGGGATRCGAACAGCCCCTTCAGAGAGGGTCTTGCAAAGCTCTTGGCGTCGTTGGCGCTGCGAGGTGCTGATTTAGCCAGCGGTCTTTTGGTGTGAAGAGCTATATCCCGGTCTCAGCCTTGGGGTTGGAAGCGCTCGTCCCTGTTGTGCTTGGCCTGGGCCACCGGGCTCGGCATCATTTCCCTTCGTTAGAAGCAGCTCGTTTGCTCGGCCAATTTGCCCTTCGTGCCGTGCCCCTGCTGCCCGCCTTGTGCTGCCCGCTGCAGGTTATACTTAGCCTCCTTTTTGGCATTTTTTTTTGCTCTGTAATTACGGAAAACCAGAGGAATTTGGGGTTGCTTCTCTTGCGGGTTGGATTCAGCGCGGTCCACTCGACTGGTGCCGGGGGAAGCCTGTGCCTCCCTCCTGCACAGCAGAGGGTTAAACGAGACCCCAAAGGTTCAGGATTGAACAAGGAGCTGCATTTTCCTTAATGTCCATGCCTGGACCCTGGCAGTTCCAACATAGGGGCAGGGTTTGCTCAGCAAAGCTTAGTTCRTGCTTCGAGAGCACCGACTTGCTCGGGGGTCACATCAGCGCTGGGGTTTTGATGGCCAAAGGGCAGGCCATGAGCAAGATGGTGGCTTTTCCATCTCCTGATGTTTTCAGCACCAAATTGAAGGCATTTCTGGCATGGGTGGTTGGGCCAAACTGTGGTAACTGGCTRAAAAATGTAGCTACAGGAGGTCAAAGAAGATGTTGCAACAGCTCTACTTTTCCCTTGGAAGTGCAAGTCCTGCAGCTCCCAGTGCAGGAGTCAGGTACTGCGAGCGCCAGGCGCTTCTCGCCACCTTCAATRACATTCATCTCAGTGATGAGATCTTCACTCTTCTCAGTGGTGGCCAGTGACAGGACAAGAGGTAATGGGTGCAAACTGCACCACAGGAAGTTCCATCTGCATGTGAGAAGAAACTTCTTCACTGTGAAGCTGACAGAGCCCTGGCACAGGCTGCCCAGGGAGGCTGTGGAGTCTCCTTCTCTGGAGATCTTCCAAACCCACCTGGATGCCACCCTGTGCCGCGTGCTCTAGGTGTGCCTGCTTGAGCAGGAAGGTTGGACTAGCTGATCTCTAGAGGTCCTTTCTAACCTTAACCATTCTGTGATTCTGGTTCCTCAAAGCACTCACCGTTGGTGTGGTTCTCGAAGAGGAGCCTGTCATTGCATTCCTGCTCGTCCACGCAGCCGCAGATGTAGAGGACGCCGTCCTCGCTGGGCTGGTGGCTCATGACGCAGCGCGAGGTGTTGTAGTTGGGGACCATGAGGTTTTCGATGGGGTGCTGGGGGTTGTGGCACAGCGTGCTGATCCTGATGCTCTCGTTGTCTTGCCTCCTGCAGGGGACAAGGGAAGGGAGAGAGCATCAGATGAGAGACTCAACCTTCAGAAAGCAGCAGCCCTGGACCTGTTGTCCCAATGTCACCAGGATGCCATCCTAAGCTGTTTCCATTCATGAGTTTATAAGTCATGCAGTTGTTAACCTATTTGCAGGGGTATAAATTTTTACTCATATTTATGCTTAGAAGGGACATTTCTAACACTGTTTCCAAATGGTGACCTTTTCAGCACCCATCAAAGGCAGGACCTGAGCCAAAGACCCCAGTGGTTTCCGTGAAACCATTGCCATGGTGTTGTCACCATTCCCGACGTGCCAATTCCCGCCCGTGGCCTTCCAGGAAGCCTGTTCCTGCCTCGCACTGCGGTGCCCGTGTTTGTGAATGGCTGCAGTTCCTCAGCCGCTGCCGTGCAAAACCCAACGCGTTTTGCACCATGAGGTCTGGGTGCAGCTGCTGGTGGACACCAAGGAGGAGCAACCAGAAAGCTCCTGGTGGGCCAGGACAGTCACTGAGCAGAAGGTCTCCCTGAAACACTGGGAGAAAGTGTTTCAGGTCTCCCTGAAACACTTTTCCCTATCTACAGTCGAGATGCAAGATGTCCCAAAGCGCCCGTCGCGCTGAACTGCTTGCAGGTGTTCGGGTGGCACCACAGGAGCGAAAAACATSTCCCAGGGCCCAGTCCTGAAAAGTCACATCCAGGGCACCCCAAACACTCCCCAGACCCAACGCAGCCGGTCCCGGCTGCCGTCATCTCCCCCACGAGCCCCACACGGCCCTTATGGACCCAAGCGAGGCGAAGTGGGGGAGCCTGGAATGGGGGGATTTTTTCTTTTGGGTTGTGTGGGTTTTTTGTATTTTTTTGTAATTTTGTTTTCTTTTTGTAATTTTGTTTTCCTGTCATCGTTTTGTTCTGCTTTTGGCTCCTAACGTGGCAATTACGTTGAGGCAGGATGCTGCAAAGGGCCCGCGTGGCTTTGCCCCTAACTAGCAGGTTGAGCCGAAGTGCCTGGCCCATTTTCCCTTCTTCAGACAAATCAAAAGGGATAGAGGGGAAAAGTCGCTTTGCGTAGACCCTARATGGGCATTTTCTTTTTGTTGGTTTTCCCCCTGGGAAGCAAAATGCATCCGGGATGGCAAGTGGGGGATTCCAGAGCCTGCATTTAAAGCCATCTATAGCTTGCTYGAAAACTTTGTGGCCTGAGGACCAGAAGCATGGGCTGGTTTTGCCCGATGGATTCAACTTATGAAGCTACACAGGAGATTTCACGCAAGCGAAGCAGGCTCAGCACAAACCCACGGGGTTTCGCGTTGCAAACTGCATTTAATGCAGTCCCTTCGGGAAAAACAAAACGAAACAAATCACAGGCAAGATGACGTTCTTGCTGCGCGCTGCACGTGCAGGAGGGTGGCGGGGACRCCGGCGCTTACCAGATGGCCACGCAGATCTCGTAGGGGCTCTCGCAGTAGGAGTTGAGGTTGCAGTTGCTGTAGCAGACCCGCTCCTCGCAGGCGGGCGCCGTCGCGTCGCACCATTTGCACAGGTTGGTCTTGAGGCTGCGGCGCGCCCCGGCTGCGGGCACAAGGGGTGCRCACGGGTGAGCGCCCTAGGGCTTCCCTCTCACCACGGATGCTCCTTTGGGATAGGGCATCCGCCCGGAGCAGATGCGGCTGCATCGGCCCCGAGGAAACACATGCCGTGCGAGGGGAAGATGCCGCCTGCGCCCGGCCGCGCTGCGCGTCGCACAAGGGAAAAAGAGGGTCTATTTTTATACCGAGGGTGAATGAGCTGCTCTGGGGTACGGAATAAGGCCCAGCTAAATTTAAACTTCCTGCTGCAAGGCTGCTGGTGTGCCTTCAGAAAAAGAAAAACATCCAAAAYGAAAAATAGCACAAACAAAGCAGCTAAGAGGCTTATATATGTGTATATATTATTGCCAATTTTTGGTCTAATTTAGCAAATGTCCTTGGTGATGTGCTGTGGGGTCCCAGCTACCTGCTGTGGGGGCCTGGGGAGGCACTTGTGGGAGGGAGGGTGTTTTTGGTGGCCGCATCCCTGGATGCTGCAGCAGGAGACCTGACTACCGAGGAGCCCCGAGGACCAAGCAGGGTCTGGCCTGGGCCGTGGAGCCCCCTGCCAGGACGCGGTCCCGGTGCCGGGGCTGCTCCGGCCCTGCTGAAGCCAAGGGGCCTCTTTGGGGTGACCCGACTGGGCCCAGCTGCCCGGGCACCTCGGCAGGACGGCACCGAAAGGGTGACGGGGACCTGGGGCGCCCGGGCCGGGGTGCAGCTCCCTGGGCCTGGACTGGGCTTGCGGGCTTCAAACCTCAGCAGAAAAAGGGTTTGATCTGTGTTTGTATTTATYTGTATTTCTATGTATTTGTAAAATCAGGTTGATAGATATAAATAAACAGCATCACAAAGGTGCTGGTGTGAAGGTAGGGTCCTGCACGGCAGTGAGAGGGAGGCTAAAGAGTTAAATACAGGAACGTGATCCAGAAGTGCAGCGGTAAGCGGACCAAACGCTCGGAGACGAAGTGTTCCGAGGCAGCTCCGCCTGCGCCGCCGGCTCCGCTCCGGAGGAAAGGTCAGGGCGGGAGGATCCATCTTTCCTGCCCTCTTTCCATCTCTCCCGGCRGGTCGTGGAGGAGGATGCCAGGAACCCCGGAGCTCCCTGGACATGGGGTGTCCTGGAGCCCCCGGCTGCCGGGTGCGCTGTGGGCGCCGCAGYGCTGCCCTGCTCAGAGCCAGCTGAGCACGCTCGATATCGGTACACGGATGGTGTCCTCGGGGCGCGCGGGCGGCGAGAGCMGCAACGCGCTGCTGCCGCAAAGGGCTTCCAGATGTCGCCGGGGCGAAGGCGAAACATCAAAACACAAACTCCAAAAAAGAAAAAAACAACAACAAAAAAAGGGATAAGCAAAACTTGGAACAAACTATAAACTAATTAAATGTGGGCTGAGGAGCCCAGAAATAAATTGAAGCCATACGGAGGTGGCGGGAGCCAGTGGGGAGCGGGGTCGGCCGAAGCGGCTGTGCGAGGGCTGGAAGCGGCGGCTCGGAGCGTTYGCGGGCCCCGGTGCCCTGTCGAGGCGCAGGGCCCTTCCCTCGGCCACCCGTGTCCCCTGGGAGGCTGCGGGCGAAGCCGAGCTGCTCCGCAAGGGACATCCCCTGCGGTGCCCGCGTCGCGGTGCCGGGAGCAGCCGGGCCCGCGCAGCGCCGGCGCCTCGGGGAGCTTGGGGCACCTCGGGGCGCTCGGGGCACTGAGGGCACCTTGGGGTGCTCGGGGCACCTCGGGAGCCAGCAGCGCCTGCCAGGAAGGGAGAGCAGCCGGGTTCTGACCGCGCTTGGCACCAGYGCTTCCCCACGCCAAACACCCGTGCAGGCCCCACGCCCGGTCCCGTTGGCCCCTCTTCAAACAGGCTGGTAACCGCCACTTATTATTATTATTTTTCCCCGCTTTGTGCAAATTTCCCTTCCAATGAAGCGTGTAGCAGGCACCGCCGAGGCCGATTACGCAAGGGGCTGGGCCCGGGCCGGAGCAGCCGCCTTCCCAAATCTGTTTCAGATGCTGGAGTGACACCACGAGGCGGCCTCCCCTGGGCAGGGACGAGCCCGCAGCTCTGCAAAGCCCGCGTCTCCCCGGGGAGATGGGTTCTGCATTTCCATTTCCCCCACGGCCGGGCCAGGGGCTCGTGCCCGGGGTTACGTGGCGGCTGTGGGAGCCGCGCGCTGCCCTCCGAGGCGCCCGCCGCGCTCGCCCAGCCCATCGCGTGCGCTCGAAAACAACAGCAGCTCCCCTGACTCACCCGCCCCACGGCCTCCTCTGAGTCAGGTTTTTATTTCTGGGCTTTTTTTATTTATTTCGGGGGTTTTATTTCTGCTCGGCCCTGTGCGACGTGGCGGGCTGCCCGTTGCACGCACACACACACACAATCCGGCTTCACGCCTGTTTTTCCCCCGCAAAAACACAAAGATATCCACGCCATTAAGGAACAGGAATCATCTGACCCTACCTACCCTGCCTTTTATTTTCCCTTCTATAAACTCTGCAGATGAACTAAGGCYGGCTGTAAAGTAAACCTCCTTCCTATTTTTTTTCTTCCCTTTCCAGGCAGACTTTTTCTTTCAAAATAGCAATAGGGAGTCACTCACATCTTGGCTGGAGCGCTGAGCACGCGGCCGTTAACCCCTTCCTGCCCCCCTACAGTCCCTTGCTGGCTGCGAGCGGTGATGCCGAGGTGGGACGAGCGCCCTGGGCACCGAGCCCGTGGGCTTCACCTGCGTAGAGCTCTTCCCTATATAGATCCCTGCCTATAGGTCCCTTCCCCGAGGTCCTTTGCAAAAAGGTCCTTGCCTATAGGTCCTTTGCATCCCCCCAAAGCAGCAACTCCATGTACCAGCCCCAGGTCAGGAGCAGGGAAAGGGCACCAGCACTGATGGGGCATCCCCATGGAACGCCTTCTCTCCCACCACAGGAAGGATCCACAGTAAATAATTTAAATGTCACATCTCACTCATTTTCAAATGGGTACCGTGCTACAAAATCCCTGTGGGTTTCTCACTGGTGGAAAGTCAGCCCCAAAATGTTCTGCAGGGGCCAAAGTGAAGCTCCTTTCCAAAGACCCAGACATTCCTGCAGGGTTTTCCATCACTTCCATGCAGGCAGCRTGTGCTGGAGCACAACTGCAAGATGCTAGACAAGAGTGATGGAGACATGGGAGGTTCGCTGCTCCAGGGCCTCATAAACAAGTGCTTTGTTTACTCTCTCCATTAAAAARTTAAGGTAATAAAGTTCGTTTTGCTCTGCATTTTTAAACATCTTCCTGGATTGCTGGTGCTTCTTGAAATGTGCTGTGCTGAGATACCTTTTCTCTTTCACTTGGAGACGTCTATTAAATATAAAAATTACTGGACAGACAAAGTCTCACAAAGAAGTTCTACAGAAAGGACAGTAAAGTTTTTGAGAGCAAACAAAGCCCACTGGTCCAGAGGTCCTGGAGCTCCCTAAGTCCTGACCTAGCGCCGTGGGGAGAACAGCAAGGGATTTTCAACACCGGCCTTTGCTGTGTCTTCAAAACGATAGAAAACCACTGAAAACGCTTTGTGTGTTTTGAGTCGGTCTTGCCAATGCCCTTGTGCCTTCACCAAGGCATCGTGGAGTAAGGGCTGGCAGGATACCCTGTCAGTGCTGTTGACACCATTGTCCCTCTGGGCCSCTAAAGCACCTGCTTCACTCAATGCACCCCTCCTTGGCCAAGAGGAGTCATCACAAGTTCACCTGCAATAGCTCAGCTGACCATTAATCATTCATCAGCTGTTGGCTAATTAACAGGACCCACCGCGTGGGGCTGGGAGCCAAGCGACAGGAGGCAAGGGGCAACCAACAGCTAATGCTACTGCCATCATTTCTGTTGTGCTTGTTTCTCAGAAGCTACCAAGAGTTGTGTCCTATCACCTGGCTTATTTAAGTGCAGCTTCTGCCCCCTTAATATCCTTCAGTTGGAGGAAGGTCCATCCCAGGTGAGACCATAAAGCTGACAGTGAAAGAAGTTGAGCTGCAAGTTGGTTGCAGATATTGCTCTGGTTTGACTATCTCAGTCCAAGTAATGGTACCRTATAGAGGATTTTTTTTTTTAACATTATTACTGTTATCATGTTATGCTGTGATGTTTAATTTTTGGGTAAACTTTCCAGGCCCTGCAGGACTCCTGGACCTTTGTGGGTAGATGGAAGTGAAATTTAAAGATATCATCCAAATAGGTAAACATGTCAGAAACACTATCTGGGTCACATTTGGGCAACAGGGTTTGCTCTGTTTTAAGTAGAAAGGGTTTACTGAAGATTTAGATGAACTTCCTGAGGAGTGTTTGAAATTCCTGGCACCCATTCGAGTTACCATCTGGTGGAGGGCCTGTGATGAGCCAACACAGAGACATTAGGCTGGAGCTGCTCTTAATATCTTGCATGGAGTTCTGTGTCTGGCTAGGATGTATTTTTTTTTTTTTTTTTTTTTTTTTTTTTTTTTTTCACTTGGATTTGTGGTATTTTGTTTACCTGAGGAGAGCAGGGCTTGTAAGAGCCCGTGTTGAGCTCTGGGGCAGAGATGTCCTGCAAACTCTCCCTCTGCCTGCTGTCATCAAGCTGCTCCAGCACCGCCTGTTCCTCTCGACCGCTGAAATTATCATGTACAGTCGAGTTCTGCCCTCATTTAGAGCAGATCTACCAATAATTAAGTAATTAGTGCTGTTGGGGTGARCTTGGCCTTGAGGGGAGGCTGGGTGCAGATGCTGCAGCTTGCTCGCTTTTCCCAGAGCATGCACAGAGATAAGCCGGCCTGTTCTTCCCTGCCATTTCCTTCGTGAGCTCTTTTAAAAACTCTATTTTAAGAAGCTTGGGAATGCACTGTAATCTACATAAAGGCGTTGTTCATTGCGGGGTTTGGGTCGATCTGAATATTTCTCGTTTTCTGAAACAAAAAGGACCTATTGCAGCCTGGGCATATGTTGCTATCTGAAAGCAAAGTGGGGTGGTTTTTATGGGAATGGGACTACAGCTTTCCATGCATCCGGTGGGTAGGGCACAGGGAACCACTGGTTCTTGCCCGTGGGCGCTGCTCCTCTCTGCCCTTCCCTCCTGGAGGAATGGGCAAATGGAGACAAATTGTTTCTCAGTTCGTTATCCTCCCCTTGGAGACCTCATAACTTTGCCCTGCCTCTTTTTAGCCCAGCTTCCTGCCCGTGAGTGCCACCAAGAAATAACTTTTCCCAACATCTTCCTTCCACCCCGCAGACCTTCACGGGTGACGGAAAAGCTCGTGGTGCCACTTTGTGAGGAGGTGAGCGCGGAGCAAAAGCGGAGTCAACATGAGAGCCCATGTTCTCCATGGCCGGCGGGAGCCCGGGGCCGCTTCCTGCCTCCGTGCCTCTTGGCACACTAATGCCCCGGCAGGAACCGCGCTCCCAGGGGAGCCCCGGCCTCGTTGCTGCGGCCGCTCGTCCCCTCGGACGGTTTGAAGGAGGATGATTAATTTGACCGCTCGTGGCTCTGTGCGTCACTTGCTGCCGCGAGAAGGGCCCTGTCTGCTGTCCTGGGCTGGTTGGGGCTAGTTTAGGGATAGCTCTACCATGGGAAAGAAACCCTGGCTATGGCAGGACAGCAGCTGAGCCTGTTCCTTTCACCTGCATGTTCACCTTCTCCCAGGCAGAAGATTGCTGAGTGGCACTGGACAGATTTCTCTGGTGTCCCAGTTGCGTTGGTTGGTGACCCACACAATTCATTCCACCTACAGCCCCAAAAGGCACAGTTGCACTCTACCAAATGAGCCAAGAATTGGGTTGGTTTTTTTTGTTTTGCCTCTTTAAAGGTATCCCTGTACCTGTCTCAAAGCCTGTGGGAGCCCAGGGATGCTGTGTGGGAGCAGGTCTGAGCTCCCCAGCATGTGCAGAGCGGGTGTCCATGTGCTGGCCTGGCACAGGAGGGTACAATGACCTGGGAAAGGGAGGAAAGCGGCCCTGGATATCCACACTGTGAGATCACACAGCTGGTACTGGCTCCTCGAGGGGGTATATGGTGTGTGGATGGGGGCAGAGCACAAAGCACAGTCCCTCTGTCTCCTTTGGGAATGGCTGAAGCAAGAAGGGATCTGATGTAATAACTACCAGGGCAGAAACTTGGGTGTTTCCAGGCTCCCAGAAGCAGAGGCCTAGGAAAAGAAGCTGATCCTGGAGGAGGCATCTTCACTGGCCTGCAGGGGACCTGAAAAGSCTGGGGGTCTCGCACCTCGGGGCAAGGATGTGTCTCATCAGCAACTGGAGGAAGCCACCAGAGTCTGGGACTGGACTAGCGCCATGCTAGGCGCTTGCTTCTGCAAATAGCTACAAGTTGCACATTGCAAATGCTGGAAGAGTTTCAGTGTGTGCTTTAATCCTAAATCCAGCTGTAAACAGGCCTATTTGGGCGATGGTAACACTTTGGTTAAGGGATGTTTTCAGAGCTGCTAGAGTCCACATGRGTGATGGCCCTTGGTTCACCGTAGGGTGGCAGATGGCAATGTACAGTGGGGACATTCACTGCCCCGAAGATGAGACGTGTTTGCTCTTGAGCAAGTCACCTGTCAGGCGTGTTCCTGGCTTACCCATGGGAAGCAAAACACTGCCATGTAGCAGCTCCGTGGAAGGGTACGTCCTGGCCAGCGCCGCGGCGGGGAGTGCAGGATGCAGAGGGGGTTACCAGATRAGCAGGCTCTCCCACATCTCCCAAAACACTGACAGCCAGCAGCAGCTGGAGGAAGCTTCAGCCCTACATGGACAGCAGTAAGAAGTGGAAACCCGAAGAAGAGCAGGAAATAGAGCACTGATGGACCTCGCAGATCTTCTCTGGCAGCAGGACCATGACGGTCTTTTCCAAACCTGGGCATGCGCATCCRAGCAGGACCACGAGAGCTCGGAGCTACCCCTCCAGTACCCCACGCATCYCTGAGGATCCTTAGGGAATCGTTATCCTCCAGCAGGGTCCGGCACGGTGACAGTGCAGTGCTCATCCGCAGCTCTGATAAGCCGGGCCGCCGTCAGCGGCCTTATCTCCCTTGTAAACGGAGGCCTCTCCGGCGTTTCACTTGGCATGTTTGCTTGGAGCGCAGCAAAGTGTGTGGGAGCTGCTCACTGTCTCCTTGATGGGACTGCTCTTGTTCATGTATACATACACATAAATATATGTCTTTTTTGCAGTAAGATCAGATGTTCCCCCAAGTCATGACAATCCATGGGAGAGGTCACTAGCTCCTGGCAATCTGTGACATGGTGGCTCTTGACAGAAAGCAAATGTTTTTGAGGGATGAGTTATCAGGACGTGCTTTCCTCCCCTTGCAATGGGCAAATAAACCAGATAGAGCAAAACAAGGAATAACATGAAGATTTAGGGAAAAGGCAATGGAGCTGAGGGCTTCCTTGGGATAAAAACCACTGCCATCCTCCCCTAACTCAAAGATTGCTTCCTTGGTACTTGGGAGGACACTGGCTACATCTAGAGGTCTCCACCTTTAATAGGACATACAAATATCATGACTGCAGCTGGTTGGGTTTTTTACTACTATCTTTTTCACCCACAAAAAAACTTCGTGTTCATTGTTAAGTGTTGATAGTGGCAGGAGCAGGAAAAATCAACTTTGATATATATATTTTAAAGGTGCTCTTTGAGATATATATATATATATATTTCATTCTGCAGAATCACCTTTTAGAAAGAGATTTCCCTTCAAAGCCCCCCACTAAGATGCAGACCTGGCCGTTCCAGGGATGAGCAACCTGCCAGGAATCTGACTGATGTCTTTGAGATGTGAGGAGCGGCCAAGCCCTTTCTGTGACTCCGATGCAGCTCTGCACCACTGGCTTTCTTAGCGTTGAGGTCAGCCTGACTTGCGCCGATGGCCCCAGGAGAACCTCAGGATCCCTCCCTGCCTTTCCTCCCTGTCTGCCACGGCTGCAGCATGGCAGAGGATGTAGGCCTTGTGTCACCAGGGTTTCYGTGTCCATTTCCCTGCCTTCCTCGAGGGCTCCGAAAGGAGCCTGCCTGCGCAACGAAGGCCGGCGCTGCCTCCCTCATCAGCTCAGCTCTGATCCAGTGCTCCCCAGCCCTGAGCCGGGCCCTGCCTGGGCACGGCCCCCGTTATCCCCCGGCCCTCGGGGTTTGGTGCTAGCGCAGTCCTGTGCTCGAGCTCTGCTGACCTCAGAAATCAGAGGCCGACGTCTTGAATGTCCTGCCTGAGGAGCCTGGGATAGGTCAGGGATTTCTCGTGCAGATCAAAAGCGGGAGATATTTTGCTGACAGCCCCGGAGCCCCCCGTGGTGATTTATGAATTATATATGCTCTATATGTTTAGCCAAAGAGGCTCGCTGTGGGGAAGAAGGGCTGGCTTGTATAAGCAGGAAGGACCACGTGGCTTCAGATGCTGGCCTGCCAAGAGAGGGTCCTGTGAGAGGCACCGGGTGGTGGGATGTCAGCAGAGGGGCTGCAGCCTCCCAAGGGTGAGTGGCCAGGAGGGATGGGTTTGGATGGGGGATAGTCCATAACTACTTGCTGGAGGCTCTGGACAGACCCTCCCTAGCACATCCCGTGTGGTGCAACCTCCTCCTGACCAGTGCAATGTGCTGTGCTGCTTCTGAGCTTCACATCCTTGAGTGCCCAAGGACATCATCCCGACAGACTTCTTGGGCACTTCAGGTCCCCAGAGCTGTTGTCACCCCAGTGACACTTTGCCCATGTTTCTGAGAAACTGCTGCAAGACGTGTGGGACTCCTTCTTCCTCCCCTATGAGATCACATGTGTCTCCCTCCCATGCTCRTGACCTGAACCCTATTTTTGATCCACAGAAACAGAGGGAGATGTTGAGATTCTAAGCCAAACCAAGAGAGAAAAATATCTTAATCGTAAACTTTTAGGCCAGAGTGTTTCTGTAGGTACAATGCAGTGATCCCTAGAACAAGTGCCCAACTTCTGGAGACATCGCAGGACTCTTGGTCTTGCAGCCGCTGAAGCCTTCGAGCAACAGAAAAGGGTAGGAGATATTGCRAAGCAACACCCTCCAACCAGGGAGAGCTCCTTGTTTTTTAGTTCTGTCAGATGGCAACCTGTCCTCCCATCAGAGGATGGAAATGGTCGGGCACCCTCTTTGATTACAAGGAGAGACAGAGCCCGAATTCAGGTCTGGACTCCCCTGGTGCAGCCTCTTACAGGGAAGCAGTGAAGATCCTGAGGACACTTAGCTGGTGTTGACAGAGTTATTCTGGGAGAACTGGGATGAGACCAAGGCCGTTTTCATCACAGTAAGGCTTAAATCTCCACACTAAGAGCAGCGACTTTGCTGTTGTCACCAAACTCCTGCTGTTCCTCTGGGCTGGCTAAGTGCTGGAATTTGTTGCTTTCAGGATAATTGAATGCATATTTCTGGTCATTTGGGGGAACTTGCTGTTCCTTTTTTTGCTTAATGTCAGCACAAAGTGGGCACCCTGGGTACCTGCAATGTCTTGGGAGGGCTGCAGGGCTGCCCTCTGAGAACAGGCACGAGGGAGACCCGGGTAAATGTCACCAGGGATCGGGATTAGTGAGAGAGCCTGGCCTGAGCCTTTTTCCCCYCCTTATTTATCTCTTTTTACTCATACTGAGACAAAATTTTGTCATCATATCGTTCACGTAACCTTTCAGATGAACTCAGTAATCATGATCTGTTTTGGTTTGGCTTTTCTCAGATTAAAAACCTGCCTTTTAGAAAAAGGAAACCCTAAGACAAATAACTCCAAAATTAGGTATTTCTGAAGGGTAATTAGCGGTTGTCTGTCTTACCAAAAACAACCCCAGACTGTGCTTTAAGTAATGACTTCTAGCAGTACTTCCTTCAGTGTGTGCTCCAAATATGATTAATTTAGCAGGGTAACGTTATCAGCACAGCATCCTACATCTCAACCATTCTTCAAGGCTTTATCTACAATAAGGAATGGTACTTTTTTTTTTTTTTTGCCTTTTTTTTGGTTTTTTTTTTGAAAATCAGTCTGACCTTATGCTCTGAGTTTTCTCATCTGGGGCTCTCTGGCTCAACAGTTGCCTTTGGAGTCGTATTTGTGTGTGAATACATCGCTGGCTGCCCATCTACTTTCATTCCCTGCTTTGGTAGATAGGGGGACCTATATAAAGCAAATGTAGATGCAGAATCCCGACCACGGTTACTTCATTTGGGTGCAAAAACAAAAAAAAAAAAAAAAAACCCAACCAACCAAACAAAAAGCCTGGAGTTGTAATCCTAATACTTCCTTGCTCTGCTCACAAAAAGCAATTTTAGTTGCATTGAAATTTCTGTGTTGAGAAGAATGAGTCTGTTTTTGCAAAAGATTTCCCTGCAAGAAGTCCCATTGTCCGTGCAAATCTATAAATACATCCTGTATAGCGCTATACGAGTGTGTACACACACGTAGGTCCTGTATAAACAGATAGACGTGCACACGTACTTAGGAGATGTGTATATAGCACTCACTTATACACAAATCTATCCCCCGTTATGAAACAATCATCAAGATATAAACAAGAGAATTTAAGCTGCGGATGGGCACGTTTTCAAGTGCTGCTGGAGGGTTTTATCTACAGCAGTGAAGAAGTGCTATCAAAACCTAAACAGAGCACTTATTGCAAAGAAATCTTTACGTAAGTGCTGGAGAGGTTCTCTGCAGAGCCAGATGTTGCTGCAAAGGCAGCTCTCCGCCTCCCCCTCTGCTCTTTCCTGCTTTAATAGCTTGATTAATTCGGCACATAAACCCGGGCTGATAAAAGCTCCGAGCTGCAAAACTTCCCCACATCTGGATGCCGTTGGCGCCAGATCGGACGGCGACGCTTTGGTCACTTTCAATCTCCCTTTCCCTCAGTAAAATAAAAACTTCCAACAAGTAACGCTGACATATATATATATATATGTATGTATTTTGGGGGGCCATAAACGCTGACATCTGCGAGCACAGCGCTCGCCCTTTGCTGGGGGAGAACCCAGCAGCGGGAGCCTTCACCCCCCAAACCCTCCTCTTCCTCGGACCCCTCTGGCTCTCCGCTATCCGGAGAGGAATCCAAGATCCGTTCTTTTCCCGGCACGCAGGGAAAACAACCCCCGCCCGCTCGGAGCCGCAGCGTCTCCCTACTCACCCGGGAGCAGCAGGAGCAGCGGGAGCAGCAGGAGCGGGAGCAGAGCGGCGCTCCGGCCGCGGCCCATCTTGCGCCCGCCTCACGGGTGCCCCATGTCCCCCCGGCCCCGGGGCTGTCAAGCCCCCGAGCGAGCGGCGCCTCCGTCCTGTCCCGCCGGCCGCGCGTGGGGTCCGCCCAGGAACTGCAGCTTGTGCACAAACTCTCTCCTCCCGAAATATATACAAATATGGGAGGGGGGGAGCCGGGGGAAGAGCCCTGGCTCCGAGCAGCACATTTGATTTTTTTTCTTTTTTTTTTTTCCCCTCCTCTCTCTCTCTTTTTTCTTTTTTTTTTGGATTTTCCCAATGACAACGCTGAGCTGCTCCCAGCTCCGAGCAGAGCTTTGGAGAGGACCTTGCGTCCACCACAGGCGGCTGGGCAGAAAGCAGTGGCCACTGCTATTTACTGTATTTTATCCACCCGGATAAAACACGGGATATTAYGCTTTGATAGGCCAGGCTGCCG